AATATTCTCCAAACAAACCAGTTATCACAGAATAATTATACCCATGTGTATTATTGTTGATGTGTTTCCCATAATAAAATTATTCATAAAAATGAGGGCTTGATTAGAATTAATGTTTATGGACTACAAACCTATGAAAAGCCACAATAGCATTATTTTTAGATATTTTCCAAAAAATCAGATAAGAGTATAAGCTTTGAGTATAATGACAGATTTCATTTCTGTAGCAGAATAAAAAAGTCAGGAATTATATGTAAGAATGAATCTGTGTTAAATCCATTCTGCTTTTAACGGTGCAACTACATAAAAGCAAGAGGCAAGAAATAAAAATGTGTTATACGTGTGTGAATGAAAATTCAACCCATGCTGTTACCTTTATATTTGATCCTGCATGTAGAAAGTAATTTCTTCCCATCAAGGAAGGAGTTTTCAAGGAAAAAGAAAAAAAGAAAAAAAAAGCTACTTACTGACGGCAAATTGAATGATTAAATGTAGAAGAAAAAAACATTTGGAGCTATGCTGGAAAAGATTTGTCCATAGACCTAGTCTAAGAATTAAGAAATAGCGTGCTAAATGAAACATTGACAAGGCCATGTTTAGAGAATAGCAACTTCATTATAATTATAAAAACTCTGGTCTCTAAAAGAAGAAACTGGTAGACTTAATAAATAAGTTTAATGATTAATGTAGCTTTTCAAAACCTGTTTGTAGTCCTGAGAGTGAATTTTATTTAGTTTAGATCTTACAAGCTATATTTTGTAATTTGAAATTAAGACTTCATTTTGCCTGAAATTTAAAGAAAAAACAAGAGCCAAAGGTTGCTACAAAAAAATAAATGTCAAACTTACACCTTTTTTTAAAGTAGGGAACTTTAGTTAGTAATGTAAATTAAGAAAATGGCAAAGATGTAGAAAACTGAAGAAAAAACATGATGGTAATCTTTGATCCAAAAAAAAAAAAAAAACGGTTATTTTCCTAATACCTAAAGCCAAAATATATTTCATTGCTTATATATAAGATTTGAGAATTAGTTGTTATTTTATACTTTTTCTCCAATAAGCCACCGCACAATTTGTCAAACCAGAAATGTTTTTAAAATAAATATGATTAAAATTATACAAAATTACATAAAGATTTCAGAAAGAATAATAGATATCTTGCTACATAGTAGATTTAGTTGTAGGAACACATTTTATATCCTTGGTAATAATAACCTTTTATTCTTTTGCACTAATATTTCAGTCTATCAAAATCATTTGAATAAGCTTTCTAATAAATCTTAATTTGTAGATTGGGTGGGGCTCAGTGACTCATGCCTGTAATCCCAATGCTTTGGGAGGCCTAAGAGGGAGGAGCATTGGAAACCAGGAGTTTGAGGGTGCAGTGAGCTATGATGACAACACTGGACTCTTGCCTGGGCAACAGAGAGAGCTTTTTTCAAAAACAAAAATGAAAACCCTGTAGATTGGAAACAAATTTTACCAGTATGTTGAATTCTTAACATCCATGTTTTAGAAAGTGTTGTTAAGCCTACTGTCTATTACATCACTATTTGCTTATACACTGAAATGTAAAAGGGGCAAAAAGAAAAGAAAGAAGGAAGGAAGGAAAATAAAGAGAGAGAGAAATGAAAAAGCCATAGAAAATGCCTCACATCTGCACAAACACATTCTCAGTTGATTAACCACTTGTCTTATGCTATCATCACAGGTCTTACTCCATAATACCTTTACAAAAAATTCAGTGGCTTCAACACACCAGTGCTTATTCCTGGCAGGAAAATGTCACTCTTCTTCATAGCTTTTTGAGATTCTTTTCTTAATTTCCAGGCAACATCTCAAAAGCATACCAAGTACTAACAAGTCAGCTCCAATGGCAGGCTGCTGTTCAGTGGAGTCCCCAGGATAGCTCTCCAAAACAGTGTTCTCAGGTGGTTGGGCAATTTGAACCCCAGGATTCCTCATCATCTCTTACTGTCATTGAGATGATTACAGCTCCAGAACCCACAATGAAAAAAGAATCAGCCAAATGCTGATTCAGTGGCAATCACTGCATACTACTCTCAGGGGTATAGAACCCGCTGAAGATTCTAGGAATGACCGTGAGTGGTGAAGCTTTTGTACAGTTTGGGGTTTTCTTGGTTGTTGTTCCCCTTTTTTTTTTTTAGCTTAAGCAAGGTTTATTTCAGTCTGGGTAACATTACACCTCCATTCACAGCAGGGACTGTGTCTTGATAAATTTTTACCCCCATAGCACCAAGCACAATGTCTTGTGCATGGTAAACATTAAGTAAATATATGTTGAATTAAACCATAGGTTCTGACGTTGTCAGTAAACTCCGCAGTTTTTGGTGGGGGTTTCAGACACTCTTTCCCTCTTGCCCCACAGAGCTACCACAATTTATGAATTTTGACTATCTCACCACATCCTGTTGAATCTATGATTTCTGACTAACCACATCCTGTCCTGCATGGGTGCTTGCAGCCTAGTGCCTGCAAAAGCTGTTAACTTCGCTCAAGTTTAAAGTGACAAAAGATCGTCCACAATAATGTCCTATAATTGCCTCCAGAGTAAGAGACCTATTGCTGCTCTTGTTTGGAATTCAGATACTAGCTGAGATTATCCTTCCTGAATACAGAAGAGGACAGATTCCAAAAGTGACTCCCAGAGGAAAAGTGTCAGCATTCATATCTTTTTTTAAAGGTTACTCTGTCCAAACTCCAGGGAACCCACAGAAGATGAAGCAGTGATTTTAGCTACTCTGGGTTTATTGTATGTACATTAAGGAGAGTTTCTCAAAATTCCCCCATGTAGTGTAGTTACCAACACATTTTTCCACCCTATCACTTTATATATATCATATAAATTTCATAAAAGTTGTCACCTCTGTGACCACAATCTCCTCCAACACAGCATTAAATACTTGCACATGTGCTCAGAATGTAGGTCCTTAAAGAGCAGCCCGCCTTGTGAGCCTTTTCCCATCTTCTTTGAACATACGCTTTGAGATGCATGTTACTGGAGTCCCTACCACCTTCGTCAGGATTGTAAACATCTGCACATATTGATGCACTTTTGGAGAAATTGATTTATGGTAAGGGCGTTCACTCTGCCTGCATCCGTGATTTCTTCCTGATTGTCACAGTTTGGGGGGGGGTGTCTATTCCTCCTACTGGGGATGCTGTCCCCCGGGAAGCGCCCAAATCTCCAAGCCCCCTCATCCCCACTCAGCGCCTCCTGTGCACGGGAGCAAGCGACATACTGCAGGCCCCAGACTGGCGCCTGCGCGCCTTCCCCCAGCAAAGCTCTCCAGGCGGTAACAGCCATGTTCCCGCGCGCGCGGGTCACGAGCTGCCGCGGTGGCCCCGCCTCCATCCTCCCGGTTGGTCGCACTCCGGCCTTTCGAATTCCCGCGCCCTCTCCAGTCCGGATCGGCCCCGCCTAGCCGCGACCCGGACCTTTTACCATAAATACGCAGGACTAGGGGAACCCAGCCATCAGAAGCTGGCATTACCGTCAGTGGGCAGCGAGGTGGTGAGGTAAGGTCCTGCTGGCGACAAAAAGGAGGAGCTCGTAGGGAGGGAGAGTGGGTGGGCGCGTTGCCCTGGCTCGGCCTTTCCACTCGCTCTTTCCCGCTGCTCCACTTGGTGGCCCGAGCGCGGACAATCGGCTTCTGCAACAGGCAAGTTGCTGTCCCTGGGAAAAAGAGAACCCAGGATCTCTCTGTCCATATGCCGGAGTCACCGTTCCCCAGGCGGGTTCAGTCTCCAAAGTGCAAGGATTCCAGGGGCTGGAGGGAAAGTTTCCCCAGGGGCAAGTGCAGGCGAGTGATGGCTTGGTTTGGGAGGGGCTCGCCTACAGGTGAGTTACCCCTTGGGTTCTGGGGTGACGTGGAGTTTTGGCAGGATGCAGTGGCAGCAGCGGGGTGCAGAAAAACGTCAGGCTGGTGGGGAGAGAGTGGAAAAAACCTGTACACTCAGTTGCTGTTGCTCTTGAAAAGGGGACTGAGTGTTGTCCCTGAAAAGGTTTAAAAGGAGAGACAGAGAGAGAGAGAGAGAGAGCCAATGTAAAAGTAAATGTTATTGTTTTCCATTACCTCAGTGAGCAACAAACTTAGCTTTGTCTTATTAACAGGTTGTTTTAATGGTTTTTTGGGAGCCAACATTTGACATTCTAGGAGGCCCCAGCAAGAGGAACACCCTCAACTCAGTGTGTCCCACGTGTTCCCTCCAGCCTCCTTTTCAGGGACTCTCTGACCTCAAAGGTGGGAAAAGTAGATCTTGCCTTAGATCGACCTTCATTTTCTTTTTGTTAAGCTGCCCAAGCGCTGAGTTTATTTTGTCCTTAGGAGTAAAGAAACTTTCTAGGGATCCTTTTGATTATCTGATCAGATTTTTAAAAGCTTTTATGCTTGTTGAAAATCTTCCTTATTACTAGAAACAGTACAATTTGTCTCTGTCCTTGTCATTTTTTGATGTACTTGTGTAAGAGAAGAAGTTCACAGGGAAGAGAACAGGGTCCTGGAAGTCAGTTTCTCAAGCTGGCCCTGGGGACCAAGAAGTTCGGAAGGTTTTGTTTCAGACTGGTGGGGCTGTCTGCATAAACAGTGTCACCTACTTCTGCTCTGGAGCTACCTGAGCCCGGGAACAGCCAGTCTCCTGGCATCCCCCGCTGTCCAAAGAGGCAAAGAAGTGAGAGACGGCGGTGAGGAGAGGGGGGTGGAATGTTCAGGCAGGAAGAAAGGCCTGGCCATATGAAAGTGAAAGAAGGTGAGCAATTGGCCTGCCAGACCACAGGTCCCAGAAGCAAAAGGAACCCTGAGCCCCACTTCCGCCCTTTCCTGCTCAATCTGGATGTTGGCTAACATGGGCGTGCTCTCCCTGGCCAGACTAGCTGTGTTTCCTGCAGAGCTCTGGAGTCCTTCACTTCCTCCATTAAGAGCTAGACCTGCATTGGGCGCTGAATTCGAGCCCGAGTGCTGGCGGTGGTCAAGGCGCGAAGCCCCGTTGGTGAGTGCCCTGGTGCTCTGGTGCTAGGCGGGGTGGGTGCTGGTGCTGGAGCCTTCCTGGGCTGGAAGGGGAAGGGGCTGGGGTCCTGGAGGCCAGGGCCTGACAGCACTGCCCATCTAGGGGACAAGGAAGGCACGGGTTTTATTTCAGTGGCCACTTCTTGTGCTTATGGGAGCTAGGTGGTGGGCTTGGATGAGGTGGGTGTTGGGCTTGGATAAGGTTTAGGGTCACCATTGATCCTTGACTCAGGAAAGCCTGAAGGAGAGAGAGAGGGAAGAGAGAAAAGGGAAGAAAGGAAGGAGGGAGAGAGAGAGAAGGTGGGAAAGAGAGATTGAGAAAGACAGAAATTCCAAAGGGGAGTTGCCAGGTGGACTGGAGATGGGACTCGGGACAGGCTGTATTGCTTTATCTCTTTCCTGTAGGAAGTCAAAGTAAGTAGAACATTGACTTTCAACTATAAGACAGAGGTTGGAATAGGATAGCTAAGGACATTTTATATTTTAATACAACATGGTTCAGTTTGGATACTGGAAACAATGTGGAAAGGGGAAAAATATTGGGGGGTTTTCTTAACCTCTTGCCCCTTTCCAGTGTGACTGCTCCAGTACAAGCCAGTGGCCTACAAATTGCATGTTTCCTCCAGCCCACTTTCATTTCCTTTGTTAGCCTGTGTCTGTTAGTCACTCCTGAAGCACCTGCGCCCTCTCCCAGACTACATTAGATGAGACATCGTGAAAGACACAGGGAACTCCCAAACTTTCTTAATTGTTGGGCAATTGTTGTCTTCAAGGATCTTACAGCATAGTCCAGTTGTTCAGTGATGTATCTATTTTTGTTTTCCTAGGTTCCCTGCTGTTTAAAAAGTATCCCTGTGGTTAGTGTGTTGATATTGATAAATATCAGCAGCGTGATATTTATTGGGCAGCCTATCACATGCCAAGGCACTGTTCTAAAGGCTCTACACGGATTACATTTTTCAATCTTCACTTAAATGGAGGTTGATTCTATCACCACTCCCATTAAGGGTGAGAATAATGAGGCAATGAGTAGTTAATTAATATGCCCAAGGTCATGTAGCTAGTATGTGGTGACTTGATATTTGAACTCAGATGGTCTATAAATACTGACATTGAGATAGGACTGTGATATTCATTATCTTATTTAGAATCATTGCCTCTTTTTACAAAGAGGAGCCTAAGGCTCGGAGGGTAATGGATTTCCTTAGTAGCTCATTACCAGTAAATGAGACAGCCAGGGGTCCTGTTCCATAGTGGAAGGGTTAGGGGAATGAACATAGTCTGTAGATAACTTCTACTTGACAAGAAATACAGGGGATAGAACATCGGTTAAACAACAATGTGAAGAAGCAACCCAGGAGGGTGAACATCCTATAGAAACAACTTCTCTGTTCACTTCAACAAATCAGTTCTTTTTCTAGGATAAAAGAGTCTTAAAAGACATAATTCAAGACAACTTGTGTCCCTCACTTGGATCTTGGTGTGAATAAGTTAGTATTGTGATTATATAAGAAAAAGTCCTTAATTTTGAGGTATGGAAAGTGATAGGGTTAAAACGTCACGATGCCTTTAATTGTAAAATAATCTAGTTGAATAAAAAGATGATGTAAGTTTGCAAAAAAACTTGAGCCATAATTAACTAGATAAGTATGTGGAGGTTCATTATACCATTTTCTATTTTTTTTATGTTACAAATGTTCATAATGAAAAGTCTCAAAAGTACACTCCCTGGAGTGCCATGACCTTAAGGAAAAGTTTAACATCTCTGTTCAAGTTCTTTATCTTGTGGGACTATAATCTAAAATCCAAATGGGACAATAATCCCTATCTTATAGGGTTGTAAGAATTGCATGAGGTAGTTTATGAAAAGCACTTAGAACAGGGCATAGTACATCATATGCCTACTCCGTTCCCTCCGTGAATGTATCTTTATAAATGTGTCTATATTGAGGGCCTGCCACGTGCCGGACATTGTTTTAGATGTTGAGGTACTGAAGACAGATATGGCTGCTGCCCCCAGTGCTATTCGTCCTTCTACTGGTATTTATCTCTATTGGAGATTTTACTATTTTATTTAAATTGTTCATTCTCTTCTAAGGAGACATGAGAGGAAAGATAGAGGGAAAAATACCCCTCTAAACAAAAAACTTAATGCAGCCACTCACGTTCCTCCCTATCAACCTCTGGCAGACATTCCAGATTTCTTTTTGAAGTCTCATTCCAAATTTATTTTGTCATCATGGTACTGTCCAGTTCTTTTCCCACCCATTTGCCTGTCATTTACCATCCCTTGCCATCTCCATCTTAAATGCAGACCAGAATTTAACATCAATGTAAACAGAACAGCTTTTTGAATTCTCCGACTGCAAACTCTTCTGTAGGGTATTAATACTTGTATGTGAATTCTAGCTCTGCCATGTAGCTCTGGCCTTGGGCAGATCACCTACCTTCTCTAACCTATACTTTTCCCATCTGCAAAATGTACATATACCCACTTTCCATGGAACCTGTGGGGATTAGCAATTAGAGATAATTTCTGTAAAGTGCTTAGTATAGTGTCTGACAAGTAGTTTTGTGTAAAAGAGAGCTTTTAGTGTTGGGGTGATTACCCTTGGTGAATAAACTATCTACTTGCTAAGCTAACATCTCCAGAGAGAGTGAGGCTGGAGCTCAGGGGAAAAGGTGGGACATGAGAGTTAATCTTTTCCTCTGCATAATTAATGATGTCTATGAAGAAACTGCTATAACTTGAACCTTTTTGAAATTAGTGTCTCAGCTGAACCAATCTATTCATCTTCAATTCATCATGAGCAGTAAGAAGCGCAGATCGGAGACCCGGTTTGATGCAAAGTGTAATAAGAAAATCGACCACTATTTTCCTCAGGTATGTCTGTAAATTCTATTTATGGAATACAGTTGTCCCTCAGTGTTCATGGGGGATTGTTTCCAGGACCCCTCCGGATACCAAAATCCATGGATGCTTAAAGTCCTTTATATTTAACATAAAATGGCTTAGTATTTGTGTATAACCTATGCACATTCTTTTGTAGACTTTAAATCATCTCTAGATTAATTAAACTACCTAATACAAGGTAAACTGCTATATAAACAGTTGTTATACTACTATATTATTTAGGGAATAATGACAAGAAACAGAAATCTATATGTGTTTACTATAAACACAGTTATCCATTTTTTTCCCAAATATTTTTGATCTGCCGTTGGTTAAATCTACAGATGGGAAACCCACAGATACACAGGGGGTTGTTTGTATACTGATATTAGCCTTAGCCACCCTTGGCATTGGGTTTTATAGCTCTTTCTGCCAACAGCTTACCTCATTGTGTGTTGGGAATATTGAATAAGTTAAAATCTTTCTCATGTATTTTATCTTTTCTAGTTTGGGGGGGTGGCTGCAGGGAAGGGAGTTGTAATACAAATCTCAGCCATATCAAGGAATCCTTTAATAAAAAGCTATTGTAATATTTCTTGAATAACTGTAAAAATCAAATACAATATATTACACTAAACTATGAAATAAAAACAAAATTAAAGGTGTTTCATAGCGTGAAAATACATACCATTCCAAATGTGGCTAATCTATTCAACCATGATACCAACCTACATTTGAATAGTGCTTTACCCTTTTTAAACAATTTTTATATATTTATTCTTACCATAACCTTGTTAGGCAGGCAGGGAAGATTTTGCCATCCTCAATTTGTTTATGAGGAGGAGAGAAGAGAAATGAACTGTTGCTTAAAGCAGGAGTAAAGTGAAGACTTGGAAGTATGTTTACTGACATGTAGTCAGGGCTTTTTCTACTAATCAAGCTCTGTGCCATATCAAATCATAGTATTTCTTCTGAGTTTAAAATGCTCCTTTAACTTATTCTTTTTCTTTTTTTTTTTTATTTCAGCATATTATGGGGGTACAGATGTTTAGGTTACGTATGTTGCTCTTGCCCCCCCTCCCTTCCCAAGTCCGAGTTTCAAGTGTGTCCATCCCGCGGATGGTGCACATTGCACTCTTTGTGTATGCATATACCCGTCCCCTCCTCCCTCCTCCCCCCTCCCCCCCTGCCCGACATCCAATAGATGTTATTCTTATACGTGCACTTATGTGTTGATCAGTTAATACCAATTTGATGGTGAGTACATGTGGTGCTTGTTTTTCCATTCTTGGGATACTTCACTTAGTAGAATGTGTTCCAGCTCTATCCAGGAGAATACAAGAGGTGCTATATCACCACTGTTTCTTAAAGCTGAATAGTACTCCATGGTATACATATACCACATTTTATTAGTCCACTCATGTATTGATGGACACTTGGGTTGTTTCCACATCTTTGCAATTGTGAATTGTGCTGCTATAAACATTCGGGTGCAGGTGTCTTTCTTATAGAGTATCATTTGTTCTTTTGGGTAGATGCCCAGTAATGGGGTTGCTGGATCAAATGGTACTTCTATTTGTATTTCTTTAAGGTATCTCCATATTGCTTTCCACAGAGGTTGTACTAGTTTGCAGTCCCACCAGCAGTGTATGAGTGTTCCTATCTCTCCGCATCCACGCCAACATTTATTGTTTTGGGACTTTTTGATAAAGGCCAGTCTCACTGGAGATAAGTGATTTCTCATTGTGGTTTTAATTTGCATTTCCCTGATGATTAGAGATGTTGAGCATTTTTTCATGTTTTTTGGCCATTATTCTGTCTTCTTTGGAAAAATTTCTGTTCATGTCCTTTTCCCAATTTTTGATAGGGTTGTTTGATTTTTTCTTGTTTCCTTTAACTTATTAAGAAGAACAGTAAGCATTTGAGAATGCAACTTAAAATTCTTCACCTTGTTTTCTTTTTTTTTTTTTTTTTTCTTTGAGACAGGGTCACTCTGTTGCCCAGGCTAGAGTGCAGTGGTGGCATCATACTCACTGCAGCCTCAAACTCCTGGGCTCAAGTGATCCTGCTTCAGCCTTCCGAGTAGCTGGGACTAGAAGCACACACCACCATTCCTGGCTAATATTTTTTCTATTTTTTATGGAGACGGGGTCATGCTCTTGCTCAGGCTGGTCTCAAACTCCTGGCCTCAAGCGATCCTCCTGCCTTGGCCTCCTGAAATGCTAGGACAAACATGAACTACCACACCTGGCCCTTCAAATTGTTTTATTTGTCCTGGTTTAGAAAACTAGAACATCCAAGTATCTAGAATATCCAAGTCTAGTTCTGTTTTTCTCTATCCTACTCCATGACAGAGTGAACAAATAACTATATACTATCCCTTTTCCCCTTTCAAAAATGTCCATATCTACCCAAGAGTCATTTTAATAAGTTGGGAGTCTATTATAGTGCTCCAATAGGGTGCATGGCAAGGGTGTTTCTGACAGCATTGGACTGAAAGAATGTTCTTTAAGAGTTTGTATGTATGCCCAGAGTAAATTTCTATTACCTTAGCTTTTTTTGTTTATTTTTTTTGATCCAGAATATTAGTATTATTACAAAAAAGGAGAACAAAATTAACTTATCACGTGCCAATCATTGTGCTAAGCATTGTCACACAGTGATGTTACACTTAATCTTTACAACATTCCTGGCATTGTTATTCTCATTACCAGTAAGGGGCATTGCTGGCATACGAACCCATGTCTGTTGATACCCATGCTATGATAATATGACTTGGGACAAATGTATCTTTTAGACATAGGAATCATGCCCTTAATTTTTCATTCAGTTTCTGCTACTTGATTCATCCTCCTTATTTAATTCCTCCCCACATCCCCTAGTTCTTAAGATAATGCCCTATAAAAATGGAATGCATGGATACAACATTTACAAAAAATAATATATACAGAAGTCTAATGGAAAAAATATGGGACTAGGATTTGGAATTCTGGTACTCACTTTGTTTTTTGGTTATTATGTGTCTCTAAAAAGGGCACTTACAAGAAAAACTTTGTGTCTTAGTTTCTCCGTCAAAAAGACTCCATCAGATAAGCCATATTTGTTCCCCCTCATTTTATAGAATTTTGAGATTAATAGATGTAACAGAGGAAATAATTTGAGCTCTTTCTATGATATATGCTGGGTGACTCAAAGTATTTATTATTAGAAAACTACATTATTATGACTAAATGATTAGTTAAATAATGATGGGGATTTTTAAAAATATTTAATGCCTGATAAATCATGGTAACTCATTCTTGCTGAATTCAGTATTTTAAGAACAAATTTTTTGGTATGATCCATTATTATGCTCAGAAAATATAAAAATTATATAGCTGAAAATAGTAAACAAGACCTGAAATGACACTATTTCAGATAGACATAGTAGAGTCAAGAATCTCTGTTTTTGATGCATCTGGAAAAAAAGTTGTGTTTCTTCCCTCATATTTCTTGGAAAAATTTGCCCGTGTAGTGATATCAAGAGCTTATTCGACTGATGTGACAGGTAGCTCAGCTTTTATTTTGGATCCCAAGTCAAATACTGATTTAATTCTACTCACTTTGATCGGTTCTGAGTTTCCCAGAGAAACTTTGTGAATTTCATACTAAAAAGAAAAACAAAAGACTAGGGTTGCATTTGGAGTTTTAAAATATCTAACATTGCTTCTAGGTCCCCAAAGAACAAGAGAGTAATTGCAGTACTTCTCCAATGAAGATGAAATCTAAAGGAGGTCCAAGAGATATAACTAACACCAAGGCTCAAAGATTCCGTTCACCTAAGAAAAATCCAGAAGACCAGACCATGCCCCCAAATAAGACGATTAATGTTACTTTGGATATAAACCAGAGGAAAAACAAAAAAATGAAATATACGCTCATAGGGAGTGAGAAAGATTGCTTATACATGGCTCTCAACACTCTTGAGGCTGTCAGAGAAGAGACAGAAACTCACCAAGGCAGAGAAATGCTGGTATGTGGCAAAGAAGGAATTGAAGGATTCATCAACCTTGGAATGCCCCTCAGTTGTTTTCCTAAAAGCTGCCAGGTGGTAATTACATTTGCCCAAAGTAAAAATAATCAGAAAGAAAGTAACCAACTATTTGGCCGGCGTGACGAGGTATCATCTACTGAGTGTGTCAAATTTTACATTCACGCAATTGGAGCTGGAAAGTACAAGAAAAAGATCGTTAAATGTGGGCAACTTCACAAAGAAGGGTACAAACTCTGCATCTATGCTTTCAAAGGAGAAACCATCAAGGATGCTCTGTGCAAGGATGGCAGATTCCTTTCCTGTTTGGAGACGGATGATTGGAAACTCATTGAAAACCTGGACACCATTTTAGAAAGCACCCAGCCAGTCGATGAATTAGAGGGCAAGCTCTTTCAGGTTAAGGTTATGAAAAGAATGGATCCCAGGGCAGCAGCTGCTGAGAATTCTGAGTCGGCGGAAAGAAACACCTCTGTGTTTAGAGAATACATTGCAGACCAGTACCCCTGTTTGAAAAAAGAAAGTGAAAAAATCAGAGAAAATTTCAAGGAAAAAATGAAAAAAAGAAAGGGGAAAACGTCATTATTTAAATTGCATAAGACAAGTTTTGGGAAAGTAACAAAAAACTCTACTCCGATGAAAATAGTAGAACTTCTTGGACATCTCGGTAAGTCAGTTGGGTACATATTCTGGGACAACAATGGAATTATGGGTTCTGCCACCTGCTTTGTTTTTAAAGGCTTATTCATTTTAACTTGTCGGCATGTAATAAATGACATTGTGGGAGAAGGAATAGAGCCAAGTAAGTGGGCAGCCATAATTGGTCAGTGTGTCAGGGTGACATTTGGTTATATGGAATCCTCAGAGAAAGAAAAGAACTGCTTTTTCGTTGAACCTTGGTTTGAGATATCTGATAAAACTCTTGACTATGCTGTCCTGAAGTTGAAGGAAAATGGACAAGAAGTACCTGCGGGACTACATCATGGAGTCACTCCTGTACCCCTTAGTGGGTTGATACATATTGTTGGCCATCCATATGGAAAGGAAAAGCATCATGATGCTTGTGCTGTAATCTCTCAGGATCAGAGAGAAGAGAAATGTCAGCAACACATTCAGGCTAGAAAAGCAGAGGGTGTGCAGCATATCCATATGTTCACTCAGAGAAGTTTCAAGAAAATAGCTGACAACGCTGATGTGATTACCTATGACACCTCTTTTTACTTTGGGGCTTCTGGATCCCCAGTGTTTGATTCAAAAGGTTCGTTGGTGGCCGTGCACACTGCCGGCTTCGCTTATACCTATGAAAAAGGCATTAGTAGTGTCATTGAGTTTGGCTCTCTTATGGCATCCATCCTCCTTGATATTAAGCAAAGATATAAACCATGGTATGAAAAAGTATTTATGAGCCAGACGGATGTAGAAATGATGAGTGATGAGGATTGAAGACTTGTGAGAATTAGGTCTGTTTATTAGCTTTAAAGAATTGCCTATGGAGTTGTTATTCCATAGCCAGTGATGTAAGTTTTCTAAATTCAAAATGGTCAATTTCAAAAATAATAATAATATTATTGATCATTTCCTATGTGCTGGGCATTTTTCTAAGCACATTTAGAAATTATTCCTAACAACGCAATGAGGTGGACTATGACCCCTCTTTTAAAGTCAAGCAATGTGAGGAATGATAAGATTTAGTAACAGTCAGTTTTGTGACACTGAAAGTCATGTAACCATTGATTTTTTTTCTTCCATTATCATTCCCTAAATTCATTTGCTACAGGGCAGGAGCCAAAACTTGTTCATCTCATTATCCCCAATATCTGACATATGGAAAGTAAGTGCTTAGAAAAATGCGTGGTGCAATCAAACTTGGAGCTATAGTTAATGTTAACTTAGGAGCTAAATGCTTGAGTAGAAATGATCTCAAACAAAATATTTTAAAATTCCCCAAATCTTCATACTACTAAAACTGTCATATGTGTCCTGAAATTCAGAGGATAATATTCACTGTTTTTATAGGTTATTAGGGCAAGAGGGATATCTCAAACATCATGTTATTTGATTCCTTGACCTCCTAAATGAGTTTTTTATTTCTATATATTAAGGTTTACTCTCTGTGCTGTAAAATTCTATGGGTTTTATCGTACAGAATACTTTAATCACCCTAAAATCTATGCTTCCCCTACTTAATCCCTCCCTGAATCCCTGAACCCTGGAAATCACTGATCCTTATAGCTTTGCCTCTTCCAGAACATTGTATAATTGGGTCTTATCGTTTGTAACCTTTTCAGACTGGCTTCTTTCACTTAGAAATATGTAATTCAAGTTCCTCTGTGTGTTTTTGTGGCTTGATAGCTCATTTATTTTTATTGCCAAATAATATTCCATTCTATGGATATACCACAATGTGTTTATTCATTCACCTTTTGAGAGATATCTTAGTTGCTTTCAGTTTTTGAAAATTATGAATAAAGTTGCTATAAACATTTGTGTACAGGTTTTTGTATGAACATAAATTTTCAACTCCATTGGGTAAATACCTAAGAGCACAAGTGATGGATTTATAGTAAGGTTATGTTTAGCTTTGTAAGAATCTGCCAAACTGCCTTCCAAAGTGACTGTACCATTTTGCATTCCCACCAGCAATGAAGGACTGTTCCTGTTTCCACATCCTCACCAGCATTTGGTATGGTCTGTTTTTGTGGGTCTTAGGCATACTGGTAGTGTTGGAATGCCAGGGATTCTGCAGGAAAATATGAGATTTGTTAATGAAATTGGGGCTGTCTTGGATGATCTAGGATATGTACACATATTATAGTATCAGCCCGGATTTAGTCGGGAAAACAGCCACTACAAATGTTACAGAAATAAGGTATTTAATTAAGAATTAAGTGTTCAATAAGAATGCGAGGAGCAGAAGAGCTGTAAGATTGCAATTAGAGGATGGATGTCAGTGTAAAGCATTGAAAGGAGGAGGGAAGTTGCTAATTGATGTGGGGCGGTCTGAGAAGATGCCATGCCTTGTCACCATGATGATACTAAAGTTGTAATTTACAGAGACATTGCAAAGTTGCTAGGTCAGATACGATCTACAAGTGGGACCTTGTGGAGATATTACAAAGTCCTACCTGACCGCCATGATCTTCCAGGAAACAATGACTACCACTTTGTTTCCGCCTTCCAAGTTTCTTATGCATATTTCTCACTGGCAAATGCTAATCCAGAACGTACAGAGGTTCTGGGAAAAAATAAATCTCATTTTTAGAAGGAAGTGGTAGTGCTACTAAATTGACAACGGATGACTAGCCTACACCCGCATAAATACATGCATACGTAAGTAAGTCCTCGCTTAACGTTGTTGATAGGTTCTTGGAAACCATGACTTTAAGCGAAACGATGTACTGTACAAAACCAATTTTACCATAAGTGAATTGATATAAACAAGAATTAAGTTCCTTGGGCATACAGTATGTCATTTCACGGAAAGTCACAGTTTCCCAGAGCCTAATGATGACATTAAGTGAGGACTTGCTGTAATCATAAATTATCATTTTTTAGCTTGTCATGCATCCTACAACTTTAACTGATTACTCATGTCAAGTCACCTGTGCATTCACTGTGTCCTGCAAATAAATTATGCTATAAACAAATACTACCCCCAGGTGTTTTCATTCAGCTGAAATATTCTGCCATATTTAATTTCGGATGCCACCCTAGAGAAGTATCGAGTAAAATATCAAATGCAAATTGGGAATACAGCCCCACTTCTTTTCTGTCTTTGATTATTTTTCACATGGGAATTCCACGTGAGCTTACAAAAGCTTTGATCACAGCTTTCCTCTCATTTCTCATTTCTACCATCATTTCTTTTCCAAAACGTTCATTTCCTTACTTTGTCACTTTCCATTTTTCACGCTAAAGCACAAACTCTTTCATTTCTGTCACACTCCACTCCCTATTATACACTTTAAAGGCAGCCAGAAAGAATTTCGAATTTCAGATTTTGATAACACTCTCCCAATATGTATATTTGGTATGCCTTGGGCAAATTACTGAAAATCCCTGAGACTTGATTTCTTATCTGCAAATTTTTTAAAAATCACGTAGCATGTTTATGAGTTTAGCACTGTTTTAAGTACTTTACACATGTTAACTCCAGCTCCTCACATAAGCCCTGTGAGGTAGGCACTTTCGTTATCCCTATTTCACTGGCAAGGGAACTCGGGCACAGAGAGAGGTTAAGGGACTTAGCCAAGCTTGTACAGCTGTTGAGAACAGGACTATGACCCCAAGGCATTCTGGTTGCAGAGTCCATGCTCCTAACTCTTCTACATAACCTCTTAACACATAAGGTGGAGATAATAATGATTCTTGGGAGGATTAAATAAGGTGCCCTCAATTCCTTTTCCCCTTGTCCTTTGAACTGTGAGAGTCGTGACTTTATGAATTATCTTGATTCGAGTTGGATTAGTGGACTTGCTTTAAGGTCTGAGGAAGAACAGGTCTAATAGATTTTCTCCTTAGAGTTCTGCATGGATATGGGAGAAAGAATGAGGAAGAGAAATGGGATGGGAAATTCTAAAGATGGGAGAAAGGACAATTGCTCTTTGGAACGTCTGACCCCTGAGCACGTCCACTGGTCTTTTATCAACTTTCCCACAGGCTCTCCTTGTTATTTCTTAACTTATATATAGCAAAAGGAATTCTTTTTTTAACATACAGCCCTACTAGTTTTAACACATGCATAGATTCTTGTTATCACTACTGCTACCAGGACACAAAACAACTTCCAACACCCCAAGAAATCCCCCTATGTTATTTCTTTACAGTCTGACCCCTGCCTCTCCCCTAATCCCAGACAACCCCTTGCCCTCTGTCCTATAGGCTGTTTTTATTCTTAGCTTTTTATGGCATCTTGATTTTCCTTCCACCCCTCCATGGCTCCTTGCTCCTCTTTCTCCTATGCTATCCAGATGGCACAGTTCCCTCATTTCATCTTCTGTCCTCTTCACCTCCACATTATCCACTTAGCAATTGTGGCCATCATTTCAGTGTTCCTGTTACCTCTATTTGGACCATTCCCTGATTATCAGTTCTCTTCCTTCTGTCTCTCAGGAGCACAAATCTGCAATTCAAACTGCTGGACACAGTCCCTCAAACCCAGCTTGTTAAAAACAAGTAACGGGGACTCCCCCTGCCCCCTGTCTCCAATCCAGATGTGCCTCTCTCTTGTCTCTTTTCTGTTCCCAGCCCCACCATCCAGACTAAAGTCTCTTCCAGATTAAAATCCCTGGAAGCATTTTTGATCATATCCCAAATCTACATTGTCAACAAGTCTTGTGGAACCTTGGGCTTTCCTCAAACACGATCCCTCTTTCCTGTTCTTCATTTTTTTCCCATTCTCTTTCATCTCTTCTGTAGATAACATTATCATTGTAGCTACCATTTATGTAGGGCTTAATATTTAGGGCCTTGCTAAAAATTTAAGTGCAATATCGCATTTGGACTGTGCCATAATCTTAGGAGTTAAACACTGTAGTCCTCTCAGTTCTACAAAGGAGCAAATAGGGCATCCTAAGTATACGGTCATCTGGAGCCAGGGAGCAGGTTTTAGACATAAGGCGTTTGGTTCCAAGGCCTGGGATGGAGCCCCAGGGCTCACTCAAGAGCCATCTGGGATGCAGAAATCAATCCCACATCTCCAGGGCCCCTGAGCCCAATTCTGTCTTCCAGCTTTCCTGGGGACAAAGTGGCAGAAAATGTGAAGATCTGAGATGGGGAAGTTTGGGTGGCAGGCCAGAGGGCCCTCAAGTTGGAGCCCATTTCAAGGTGAGCACCTTATTTGGCTCCACCTCTCCCTCCCTTCTTACTGAGCTGGAGCCATCCTCAGTCACTGGGTCACTCCTTTGTCAGCACTGAGGTTTCGGGGCCCTTCATTTCCTCCACTAAACCTCTGGCCTCCTAGCTCAGGACTTGTGTCTGGAGAGATCACTGCAAGGAAAGAGCGGGAAATCAGCGAGCAGGGAGGTTCTTTGCCACATGGTGTGGGTATCTGAGAGTCTTAGACTTGGAGTGTCAGGAAGCCTAACCAGGAAGGGGGCTGTTTCTACTTCAGGGGATATGGTGCAGAGTGTGGGGTGGGATGGGACAAAGAGTAATGTAAGCCTAAACAGCTGGTACCGCCCGGGAGCCTGGCTTCCTTGAGGAGGAGGGGAGGGTGTGTGGTCAGGAAGCAATCACACAATCATGATAATGGATCAGGAGTATGGTTGTACCACGTGCCAGCCAGACGGTCACAGTTAAACTGCCAGAGAAATTGAGAGAAGAGAGAAGGAGTGATAAAATGATTTGGGAAGGCAGACAGCAGGTGATAGGACTCACCAGCAATTGCACTGACACCTTCATTCCACTGACATTGATTTATGTGCTGGTCATCCAGTTACTGT